ATTAAAGACCAAAGCAGCTTCGAAATTATAAGGATTGTTGGGGACAAAGAGAGACAGGTGTCAACCTTAACTTATGTAATCTTTGAATATTTTCGAACTTATATTTTTATAATGAACTTTTTATTATTGAGATCTAGTCAGGAATAACTTGAGTTAGTTATAATATTGTAATTAATATTTATACATATTTTATGATATACTTTTGAATTAATATTTTAATGAATAATGAGGTTTTTTTTAACGGCAATGAAGATAGTGTACAATTAAATATGTAAATGTGATTAATACTTTAATAATCGGGAATGTTTTTTTTTATTATAAAATCATGATTTTGTTCATAAAAATGAAGGAAATTAAAATCTTATCATAATAATGTTTAAAAGTAGTTACTAATGATGTTTTTAAAAAGGTGTTGAATTGAATAAAATAAAGTTTTTTATTGAAAACTCGATTGATTGGTAAGCAAATTGCTAAGGTAGAAACTAAATTACAATAGAATAACTAACCTAATTTAAAAGGATCTTAGAGAGAACAAAAATATCTTGCAATTGGTTGATATATTTGTTTTTCTATAAAAATATCGTCTTCAAGCGAAAAATATAAACAACAAGCCTTTTTTTAATAACCTAACAGTAACCCAGTATCCAATCAAAGCCTTAATATCTTTCATCCGTCCGTCAATGCTGCCTGCTGACAATAAAATGAGGCCGATTTTCAATATTTTTCATGGCAACGCTGAAATACTATTATTCATAAAACATTGCCTTATTTTTATTTATGATATGGTGTGTATGAGTATGCATAAATAGGTGCGTGCGTGCATGCGTGTGTGTATATGGTTATGAATCTCTGTTTACATATACGATAACAAGAACGTATCATTTAAGTATATAATGTACATATTAATAAATAATAACCAATTATAATGGCACCTTCGCGTATAATTCTAGAAGTTTCTCTTTTGGAAACATTTGCCTGAAAAACTTTGTACATTCTTACATTGAATGTTAGAAACAGTTTTGCGACTTCAGCCAGCCGTAAGATCTCAGTTTGACTTCCAGCCAAGACAGTTTGAGAGAATTCGGTCAAGTGGTTCTTATAGTAAAATACGGACAAGTAATTTAGTAAGTGATAATTGAGGTAAACTTTTTCTTTCATAAAATACATGATTACTTAGTTTATTTCTTTGTTACAGAATGATATATTATAACAATAATATTGTTAAAACTATGCTGTATTTTTCTATTATTTAGTAATAAAATATTCATTTGTACACCTTTTATGTATCATGATTAGCAAAACACTTGCTTCCCAACTTACTGATACTTATATGTACTTCAATAATTTTTTATTTATTTAAAAATGCAAGTATATACATTTTAAAGGTAAATATGTAATTTAGTATAATAATTATTGTAGCCATTTCATAATTATTTGAACGCGTAACCAAATATCACGTTTGTTATTCCGGGAATATTTTGATGTGGAAATACTATTTATTTTAAGTCAACAATGCAATTCCAATGAATAATACATAACAAAGGTCCAACCGGGACTGTAAAATATTTGCTCATACATGTAAATTGTATGAAAATAATTGTTATATGTTAAAATATGTTGTAATTATATCAAATAGCTCTTGTGGTGCCCTCTATGTAAGCAATGTGTAAACACTTTTGACAGTTATAAAATAAAATTATTCTTTCTTCTTTGTTCGATAAGCAAGCACATTGTTTTAAAATGAAATGAAGTTTTTCTGATGCAATTCATTTTTATTATATTAAATACTAGTGTTCATTTACACATCATTTCATCATGAAAGTTTTTCATTTGTTTCAAAAAAAAAATTGTTTCATTTATATGTATTCACGGGAAAATCTTAGATATAATTTTTACATTTTATTTTAATAATTTTTGTAATATTATATTTTGCATGAGCAAAAATATAACTTGAGAACATATTTTTTCTTTTGTTTTATATACCATTACTAATCAAAGGAACGTATTGAAAGAAACTTATGTTAATTTATTGAGATAAAACAATCTATTTACTCGACTTCGTTCAAAATAAATTGCATTTTAATTAATATAATTTATATACATTAAAACTAAGTATTCCTTGTAAAGATAGAAATATTATGTAAAATATAAACAAGAGGCATTTCCTAGCGAATGAGGAAAATAATTTTTTACTCTCAAACACCGCGTAAGACTTCACGATTTAATTAAAATGTACAAGTTGTAGTTTTATTTAACTTAAACTAATATAACTGTTACGGATCCGACTTAGATGGTTGCGAATATTTGGCTACGAATTTTCAGTTCCGTTGTTTTGTTCTTATAAATATTATTTTAATTAAAGAAAATAGTATACTTTGATCTTCATAGAGGAAAAGAACCAGACCTTTGCTAAAGCTGGGAAATTGCCAAGAAGAAGAAGAGAGGAAGAGAATTAAAATGTACTTTTTAAATCTAAAGATAAAATTAAGGTAAAACAGTTAATATGCTCAACTTTTGTAAAATATTTCCTCTCAAAATTGCTTTAAAACAAAACCATGAATGCTACTATGCTGTATTATATGTATTATAATTTGTGGTAAAGGCAGTGGAAAATTGCATTTTAATAAAACTGATTTGACCGAATTAATGTAGCGCGTAATTGTCTGCTATCTTTAACAACAGGTTGGCTTTTCATTTGGCTATTGGACAAAAACCTAGCAGATATTTCATGATTTTATAAAAATAGGGATCATAACTTTAGGAATGTCTGTCCACCGAACAAGTTTCCTGCAGCAGGAATTTTACGCTGACCGAAAATTCCACTTATTTATCCTCCTAGTTTCCTGTTTGGGAATATCAGGTATTCGAACAAAAACAGGGTCAAACAGGACTAAAACCTTCAGCAATGCGTTCCGAACTAAATATGAACAACCTAGATTCAAAGATATCTCGAACGTTCAGTCCCAGACAAGACAAACATTCAGGAACATAAATTGAAGATGTCATTGAGTCCACATACAATCGATTGAATGGTTAAGATGTGTGTACATATATATATACTAGTTATTGTCACTGAATAAAGGAAATAAACCTAATATGGAAGCTGGTCTTGATCAACCAAATCATTAGACAAAGTGAGGGTATTAAAAGTTTTACAATATTTAAAAAAAAACTTAAACAATTAGCAACATTTTTTGCTTCATGTAATAATGAAGAATTCTTAACATTCCCGTGCCAATGAATTTGGAATAATATTTTATAAATTTTTCAGGTATTATTTCCTTTAATATAGAAAAAGAATATTTTGAGGCGTATTTATGATGGTTGGCGTATATAATTATTGAGTTTCATAAAACCAAATGTATATAATAAGAATAACAAACACTGATTCGACAAACTAGTTTCATTCAAACAAAGACAGATTTTATTTCATCTTTAGATATTACTTTCATTTTTAATATTACTATGATATATGTATATTTAAACCTGATTGAACAGCCAGTTAAATTTCATACCAAAAATTCTCATTTACTTCCTTTCATCAAACTTATAAAACGAGGAATAAAAAACAGAAAATAATTATCAATTTTAGGCTCCGCTGAAATCACCATTATGAATAAGATACAAAGCCACTGCGACACTGAATTGCCAATTAAATAACCGAAAAATTCCCAAAACTATCAAATGAATGCCTAGTTAGCGGCGATTGAAACTGTAAAAAATGCGGAAAAAGCTTTCAACTGACGTGGGGACTTCAAGAGACACTTCAATAATTTCCAGGGTATTTTATAAAAATGTCAAGTATTTTAAAAATATGCTGCGAGATCACGTAACGTGGGACGCCACTTTTAAAATGGTTCTTTATAAAGATATATATGATAGAAATAATTAAAAACGTAGGAATATTAAAATGAATTGTTTCATATTTCATCTACTCTTTAATTTAAAACATTCAGAGTCTTAGAAATATCCCTTTATTTGGTGTAGAATATCTTTTCATTATCATTTTCTTATATAATGTAATCTCAATAATAATACAACATCAATTGTTCATTTCATTCTTCAATCTTGGCTCACGATACAGGTTCTATATGAAGAATTACTTAACAAACTTTTGGCCATGATTCTATTACTTTTATTTACTTTCAGAATGCTAATGAACTGTATTGTTATAACTTTTGCTATAGTCGACAGATTTTTGGTTCTTATTGAATTAAAGTCATCGAGAAAAAGAATTTAATATGTAGATATATGTATTCATATGTGCGTGATGAATAAAAAAGGAAATATTCAAATGACGAAACTCTTTTCATATCGCCTACATCATATAATAAAGGAACGCAATCCTTCAACTTAATATGGGTAATGACTAGTTCACGTGACTTCCGTGAAGTTAAATCATTGCCAGATTCACAATATTTCTATTTCAAAAATTTATATTTCAGCCAAAAAATCAAATACAAATATATTAACAAACAAGTTGCAGAACAATAAAAGAAAAAGAAATAGAAATATTTTGGGCAAGACAATCCTTAAAAGTGGTACAAATATAAGCATTTTTTAATTTAAGACCTATGGGGATGAAATATATTTATGATGAACTACAAATTTCATGTTTATACAAATTGAATGAGTCCCTTAATTTCCGAATTCTAAAATTCGCGGCACGTGCCTCCCTCAGGACAGTAGGCGTTCACTTTAGTATCTTTGTTACAATAAACTAAAAATTATGTCTTTAATTTGCCTAAAGGTTAGAGGTTGGCTTCTTTGTCTGAGATGTGGGTCGAACATTCGTTATGAAAATTAGCATTGCATGAATATTATCACAGAAATGATTTCAGATGAAGCAGAATTCAACAAGGACATAACAATACGTTTATAAATAGCACCAAAACCCCAGGCTAATATTTTATCAGATATCAAAACGAGATTAGATATAAAATCTCGAGTGTTCAAAAAAAATTCTTAATATTAAGTTCAATGCCAAATATAGAACTAACCTGTTTGACTATTAATCTGGCGACCCTCTGGCTCGCGAAGGTGACGAAGCCATAGCACTTGGAGACACCAGCCCGGTCGTAGATGACCCTCGCGGCTGTGACTGTTGAGAAGCCGGAGAAGAACTTCCACAGGTCTTCGTCGGTGGTCGTCAATGAAAAACCTCCTACGAAAATTCTATTATGAATGACAGTTCCAAATTTAGGAGCATCACAAGGTGGCAGAGTATCGTCCGTGTCTTCTTCGGGTGAATTCAACAAAGCCTTCAGCTTCTCGTGGGGGTCAGCGCTCTTTCTGTTGTTGGACGACCCATCCTCGACCATATGAGCGCAACTCGCTGAATCACTTCTTATATATCTCTTAACACTGGCATCCATGGCTAAATCTTTCTTTATTATTCTTTTAATTTAAAGCATGTTCCCTTGTTTACTACACTAAAAAAATTCTAGCGACAACTATACACACTACGCCCGCCCGAAAAACAACGTGTACTGCGAGCAGTATCGATTTTGAAGGTAGTTAATAGTTATACATATATTTTCGTGCGTTGCGCTGTACGGCAGCCGTGGTTTGATTTTTTAGCCCATGTTAAAACACAGATGACAATGAGATAAGGATACGTGGATTGACAATTTTGTGATATGAACTAAAAATAGTGTTTGAGCTATTGTCGACCGCTATTTTTACTAGTCGAGGGAACTAGGTCATTAGACCTTTCATCTTGGCATTTGATAGCAGCTTCTTATCTTGTTACTAATCTTTTTGTTAGCGGATAATAGGTGGCGCTGTGGCTCAATCTAATTTAATTGTTAAAAATATTCTGGCGCGGGAAATATTGTATTGAGCATATTGTGACGTATTAAACACAGAAAGAGTTGAATTATTTTTACTGACAAACATAGTCAAAGATTCACATTTATTTTTATCTTTTATTGACTTTTTTAAGTCATCCAAAAAATTAAATGATTAATAAATATATTTATAAACGACTCAGTAGCAAGATTTTATCCTATTTTTTCGTATTTAATTAACATTCCTTTTTATACAATGTAAGAACTAAACATTAATGTATCATAATTTTATACAGGGTTACTAAAAATCATACAATATCTTCACCGTGATGGTACTTTGATCTAGTTAATGATAACACTTGCTTGTGCAATTAAAAAGTAAACATATGAGAAAACTATAAGATAAGATAATTAATTTGTAGGGTTAACTTAAGATAAAAATAAATTAAATGTTATTACAAAAAAATTACATACTGCATTAAATATTATATTAATAAGCGAAACAGTAGTAATAATTTTTATTTGTGACTACTAGAAAATAGAATTTTTCTTAATTTATCTGATTCTCCTTAATATTTAAAGTTTTTATTCGCTTTATTTTCAATGATATAAATAATAGATTAATAAATAACGATATTTAATATCCTATTATTAAGATATAATATGGCAATAATTTGAACGTCATTTCATATACGCCAAACGTCAATTAGACGTATCCCAGATGCGATATCGGTTTGTGCAAATAAGTTTTAACTGTTTACTGTTGTTAATATATTGTTGGGTGTAATATATTAAAAACTTATTGATAATTAATAGTTGTAAATAGATATATTCATAGTTGTTAGTCGTGAATAGTTATTGCAAAGGAAGTTTTGGGTGTAACAAGTGTAAGTATTTTATTTATTTATGTCTTATTGTGTTATGCTAGTCAGTGTGCACTTGTTGTCCTATTTGTGTTCATTAGAGCGGTTCGTTTCATAACTTTATTTACCTCCTATTAGATAATTCGATGTACCCTCTATAAATTTTTATTCATATTTTGTATGATTTTAGTATCTTTACATATAAAATAAGTTATAATATATATATTTAGTTGTACAAATATTTATTTGTACATGCACAGCCCGCTGACAAGTGGTTATTTATTATATATATAAATTTAAATGATAACTGCAATTTGATCTCAATAGTAGGAACTAAATTTCACTTAACTGGCTAACAGTATCATTGTATACAGATAAAGTGTTAGAGTATTGCAATCTGTTTTTGTTTAAAACACTATTATTTACCTGAAATTTAATTGCCTTAATCTGAAGAATCTATAGTTAGGATAATAAATAAGGAAAATTATTCCTTAGACCGTAAATAATATGCCATATAATGTTGATTCATAGTTAATCTTTGATTTAAATATTTATAACATTAACGAAAGATGGAAGAAAAGTATTACCCATTTTTTAATTCAAGAATTATTTTACTTCTCATATAAGGTGTCGGACACTCAAATGTTTCTTTATTGTAACAAAAATAACTATATATGTGTTGCTACATTAACTGACACAATTTTGGACATAGTATTTCAATTGGAAAAGCATATGAAATGCAATATAATTGAGGTCGCAGGTTTAAATCCTGTTTATATCAATAAATTATTAATTATATTTTTTTTTAAAGACTGAATTCAGTTAAGCCTATTTTTGTTTATTAAATATAATTATTGACACAAGTCAAATACAAGTTTTGAAATACATAACATTGAGTTAATAGTGTTTATTAAAAGAATAATAGTTTTTATGTGATAATTAACCTTATTTTATATTAATAAACATAGTTGGTGAGATTGAGTAATAGAAGTTATATCATATAAATATAATTTGCCTATTTCTATTTTCCAAATCTCAAAATTGTATTGACCATACATTTATTCCCCATTTCTTATTGAGTTTTTAAATTAAAATCTTTCAGAGTTGTTCTCGGCACCCTCTATAGTTAAAAATGTTGATGATGTTGAAGACATTGTTTCACGAATATTTTTCTTTATTATATGTATATGCTTATGTATACTAAACTAAACAGAAGCATAATAGAAAATTCAAATTTCATTATAAGTTTATTAAAAACTAATTGGAAAATTATATGCATAGAAACTGGTTCCATGAAGACACTCAAACTGGATGAACAACTTTTGGAGCACCAGATATGTGTTCAACAACAAATAACGAAATAAAGTTGTTTTTAATATGCAGCCGACAAAAGCACATGCAAATACTTAATATGTAGATGACTTCTTAAAACATCCGACATTTATAATAATTATCAATTAATTAAATTATATATTAATTTATGGTCAAATGAAACTGTTATTGAACTATGGCATATATTAGCAACAGACTTTCTTATCATTCAATGTATTTACGGAGCGGCCGCTGGCTGCATCATTGTAGGGAGATGAGCCTCAACAGTGACTGGGCCTTGCGACCCAGGCGTAGGTTTAAGGCTTATCTAACGAGTGTTAACCGCTCCCCTCCACCGTCTAAGCTCCTCTCAACCTAATCAAATATATTTTGCTTAATGTGTCTTTCTGACTGTAATAGAGACTAATAAATATCTAAATCATGTTTTAATATACATGTGTCCTGGCTAAAGTCTGAGTTATCATTATTTGAACTTGATTTGTTAACTGTGAAGAATTATTCTTTAGAAACTTCATGGTTATAGAAAGTTTGTTTTCATAATAACAAACAATATTCATATTGCCAGTGACCTTTAACCTTCATATCCAAAGTCATTGAAAATGCTTTATTTTTTATTAAAGTAGTGTTGACGCTTTGAAAGAAATTCACATAGCTTTCCTACTTATATGGATTATAGGGTCTGTAAAATTCATTGAAAATCTAGATGACGAAATAACATAAGATAATAACGTAAATATTAAACTTGTATAGGGCTCAAGTTGTGGTCAAGAATAAATGATGTCCTCGCTAAGGATAGTAAACAAAGCTGTAAAATGTGGTATCTTTCATTGTAGGGTTATCAGCGGAACCTTGTCTCACACTGCCCTGTTACTAGGGCTGTAGAAATATCACATAAAACTAATTAAAAGTTCTTAATTTTAAAATACATAGGTAGTTAATTTCGTAAAAAAATATTAATTTGACAGTTCACTCTGTCTTATTGAATTTGGCGCCAAAGTCACAAAATGACAGCTGTCACAATTTTTCATATTCAATCCTTTTTCTGGCAAAATATTTTAAGTCTTCACCTAGGTATTTCCATACTACGTGATATTTGATGTGTATTCTACTCACGTTTATACAAATGAAGAATTAAATTGTGTCTACATTCTGTCAATATTCAGCCTTAGAAAATCGATGGTTTATTTTTATTTAACACGAATTTGGTATATTCTGTAAATATTCGTTATTATTATTTGTATTAATAAAATTAAATCTATTTGAACGTGTGTTCATCCCTAACGTTATGTAATTAATACGCGGTCAAAGGCCCGAGGAAGACGTGGGCAATTATTGAAGTTGATACAGAACTATTAATTTTGCTATAAAATTAACGTTACTATCTTCTATTGGTAATAAGTCAGTTGTAAATTTCTATTCTCGTTTCTTAGAAAAGCTTAGAAATTTTAATGATTAATATGAGTGTAGAAGATTTCATTAATAGTCTATATAAATACATCTTAATTACATTATGGATAAAGCTTTCTTATTTTTAATAACGTGATTTGTAATTAATTTGATAACAGCCAGTACAATAATATTATTTGTATCAATTAATTATTTTGTTTATTTTAATATGTTGTATATAAAATTATATGCACCTTTATTGATAGTGATTATTTTAAATAATTTAATCAGTTTAAAGTATGAGAGAAAATAATTATTTTAAAGACTACTTAAAAATAATACATTATTGTAATATCGTAAAATTATGTTTCTTTTTTTATTGACGCTAAGTTAAAATAATAGTTCAATCAAAAACTGCTGCATCGTTATACTGCAGAGGTCGCAGCTTCAATTCCTGTTCGTCTCAGTGAATTCATTATATAATTTATAATTTAAATTTATTATAAAATGATAATTATTATAATAATAAATTTTTGATTCATTCATTCAATTAAATAACTTTTTAATAGGTATATACATCTTAAATATTTATTAACTAGTGATCGGAAGAAACCGGTACTTATCAAGTCACTGGGCGAAAGTGAGTAAGTTAGGAAATAAAAATATAAATAAAAACACACAGATCAAACTATCGTAAGTCTTATAAGACGAAACTTCTCATTATTCCATGTATTCACGGTGCGGGTGTCGGGTCCATCGTTGTAGTGAGAGGAGCTGTGCTGTGGAACAGTGACTGGGACTTGTGACCCAGGTGTAGGTTTAAGGGAAACAAGCGTTAAATGCTCACCTCCACTGTCAAAGTAACGTTATTAATATAAATTCCGAACTAAAAAGTCCTTGTTAGTTTCACAACATTTAATATGCGTCATTCAGAATGACATCACTATTTCGTGTTTCGTACGATAATAATACGAGAATTGAACAAAACCTTTATATATTATGTATAATTAGGAATTCCTGTTTTATCTTTTGTCTTATGTAAAAAAAACTTTAAATTACCTTTAAAATTGTGTTAAAGGTAATTAATTATAATTATATTCAAATAAATCCAGGTGTAAATGAATGTAAGTAAGGAACTTACTTCGTTTTGTTATTTGAATTCTAATACATGGGCAATCATTTTTGTATCTGTCTTGTAATGTTTTAAAAAATCCCAATAATTTTATTAATTCTTTGTGTTAATTAGAGAAGGATATTTATAGATTGCTAGGTTTGTAGTATTTGTTTCATATCACCTTTAAAGTCATAACAATTGGTATAAAGCTGCATAGCACAGTTACTTAAATTATATATTTGGCCATGGATCGCGTACTTTATTATTGTGTTTCTGACTCAATGTTTCGAAAGAAACTTTCATCTTGTCTGACAATGATGACGGTTAGCGAAGTAAACGAAATTTAAAATGAAGGAAAAATATATAATTTAAGAAGTAAATCCCGAAAATATTCTTATATTGGAATATTTTATAAAAAAATTTAGATATCTATAGTGCTTATTGCTAATATGTATATTAATTTTTTTAAATTTCTTTAATAAAGGATCGTCTTTATTTTATTAACGAGATATATTCGAAATTTTCATCTCGTCTACCAATCATCACGGTAGTTGCAAAGTAACCGAAACGTCGGTATTATGTAGTTTATAATAACTAAAAATAACATAATAATACATCGTAAATATTAGTTTTATTTAAATAACTAGTCGCGATACTTTCAGATCTCATTATATTTTATTTGACTATGTAATTGACTAGTATTTAGCCTATGTTATTAACTTAGTTTATAATGACTGAATAAAAATAAAGATCTTTGATTTATATATAAAATGTTGCTAAAAAATCATGTTTAATTTGCCCTTTTATATTATTTTTCATTTATAAACAATTATACATTGTGTTTTTCTTTTAATATTTTAGTAATAAAACCTTTTGATTTCAAAATAATATCTTTTAAAAACATGATTTATATACATACTTTGAAAAAAAAACATAATAATGCAAAATTTAAACTAAAAGCAGCGAGATAGGTTAGTGTACACTAGACTTTGCATTAGGTACTACTAATCTAAAAATTGGTAAATCGATCTCTCAAATTAGTATAATTAAGTGTCCTTATAACTTTTGTATTTATAAACAAAATATTTTCCTGTTATTAAATAATAAAATAAAAATATTAAAAGTCTTTGAAATCACATAATATTAAATTACTATAGTACTTGCATACATGCGATAACAACTAAAAAAATGGAACCGGTCACTTGTGACTGTGTAATAAAATTTGCCACTTAATGATGTGTGCGCAATTTTCACACAATACTTGATAGTGTATACCTAACGTTTTCTATTTTACTAACGTGGTTAAAATATATGAATATACTTTTTTTATTTTTTATTACAGAAATATGTGTAAGAATTTATTCAATCAATATATTTCTGCTGTTTTAAATGCTCAGTAAGTAAGTAAAATTGTGCATGAATACTAAAAAAAAATCAACAAATTTTAAATTAAGGCCTTTAGTCCTTTTTGGTTTCAATTTTGTAAATATTTTTTGTTTTTCATTTCTCTAAATCTTCAATCCTGTGATATCGGTGCTATATGTACAATAAATTATAATACTATTTTTTCCTAAAATATAAGTTATTTTCTTTTATATTGTTATAAAAAACTGTGCATGCAATTTATTTTTAATAATATAAAATTTTCCCTAATAACTTTGTGGCGAATAAGAAAAATAAGTAAGTAGTATTCGGGGTCCATACGGATTCAATTTAAAAAAGCAAATTGTTTAAAAAACTAGTTACAAGAAAAAACTTATACCATTTTAAACCACAATCAAATATCATTATATGTTCTTGATAGCAATCAGTTTGTACCGAGAATGTTGTGTGAAAATTATTAGCATTTAATTAGGTCATTGATAATTACTCGTATCAATACGATCGTGGTCAGATTTAGTGTAGTGACCAGTGAGGTTGGACCCTTACAAAAATAAACTACATATTTTGAATCACAAACCTAAAATTCTCGTTAAAAGTTGAATTATTATATGAACAGGATATTGGAAATTTAGAAATAGGTGGTGTGTTTTTTTGATTATGGTCAATTTAATAATTTTTTCTTACTATAACTATCTTCTACCTGGCATATTCCCAGCTAAAGTCAGGGTCTGCCTTACATGTTGTGAATAGTTTTGGCTATTTGTTTTTACGACTGGCCGTCTGTCTGACATCAACTCTCTTTTGGGAATCAGCATTAATCAGTGATGTCTAAATACTCTTAGAAAGTACATATGACTTGGAAAAATCACATTAGTGCTTGCCCGGGCCAGGATCGAACCCGCGCTCTCGTGTATGAGGGGTGGGCCTTTTTAACCACTAGGCCACCACTGACTGTTACTGTAACTATATTTAAATCAAATCAGTGATTTCAGTGTTACGTTTAGACAAAAAGGATATCTCATTACATCCTTAAAATGAACGCCCTGTATATTACATTTCATGTATGATTAATGGTGTTAATATATTGTCAGTAAGGCTACATGCATACATGGCGGGCGGTGCGTGGCGTCGGAGTGCGGCCCGCGCTCGCACGCTACGGAATCTATTACGAGACACAACACGAGCGTTACAAGAGATACAGGATGTTCTGACTGTCGGTTAGTATAACATATATATTATAGTTAACAATTAACTCGTATACAGTCTTCTTCTTCTTCTTCTACCTGGCAATTTCCCAGCTTTTAGCCAGGGTCTGCCTTACATGTTGTGAATAGTTTTGGCTAATTGTTTTACGACCGGCCGCCTGCCTGACATCAACACTCTTTAGGGAATAAACTTAACTCATATACAGTAAATGAAACTAATATTATCGGATTTACTTGCTGCTGTTCTTGCAAAGCAATAGAAACGTTGGGAGTATGTAATTTTAAAAATAATAGAATACGTATGTATAGTAATCCGAAATATCAGTTTCATTTAAATGAACGATGCTAAAGTCTTTAATCTCATTATATTACGAAATATTGTCTCATATCCCATTTACATAACTATATTTGGGAAGATTTCATTTTTTCCTTCAATCTACGTTTATACTATTATTTGCGAGAATTAATGAATGAAAAATTTTAAAGTATGAACGCAATTTACCGATTTAAACTTTTTATAACGGTGTGATAAAGAGTCAATATATTTCTTTACTAAAATAATATTAGTTTTTGCATTAAATAATTATTTATCACCAAACGAAAATATGTCATATAACCAATATTTAATTACCGTATGTAAAATCCGGCATGTTATATTCAAAGGGTATAACGGCATTAATATGCTGTAATTAAAGAAAATGTTCAAAATATTGCATATCCTAATGATTGTTGCTGATTAGACTATGTCCTAAGACATTATTTGAGTCTGTATGTATGTAGACCCAGAAGTGGAACTCACCATTCAAGACATCACCTCCCAGTCTTCGCGGCCCACAGCGCTAGTGGTGATGGGTTGTTCACCAAGTGCCAGGGCCAGGTTACTGAACTGTTTGTTGGGTAGAAGGCTCCTACCTGAAAATCTTCCCCGAGGATCTAAATGGGTGAGTTTCAGTGATAAATTTGGTAAACTTTCATTCTTATTTTACATCGAGGACATTTAATGAAGTTATGTTAAAAATTTGTTTTCTAATAAATAATTAACTTCATCCAAGATAAATTGTTTAATTTGTGTTGTTCCGTAAAAATGTTACTCTTGGTACACATATGTCTCCACAGATTATTTTGAGTTTGGGATATAACAAAGATTTGTAATGTGTCTTGTACATAAAAGCGTGAATTCAAAAAAACTTTGATACTAATAAATTCGGTGTAATGTAACTCACTATAACAATATGAACAAAATCGTTACACAGAAAAGTGCAATTTTGAGATGATAATTACTAATAGTTTTTAGACCAGATTTTAGTTTTTCTTAATTAGTAAGCCAAAAATTTAAGTTTTTGTAAAAACTTAACATTTATGGTATAAAGTCACTTTTTCTGTATCTTATATGTTTTTTATACTGTATTATTTATTCAGTTACATATACAATACGGTGCTACCACTCAAGTACACTTGACTGTCGGTAACTCTGAATTCGAGCTTGTTGAGGTCTTGGAGTGCAATCAGGGACCATGGGATACTTTACCTGTACAGGTAAGTACCTATATACCTTTAAAAGGTAAAAGGAATATAACCTTTATGTAACTCTATACATATAAAACAATATTTTTGTATGACCTTCAAATAGTAATTATTTTGGATCATAAAGTGTTTCTATTTAAAATTCTACTTATATCATAAATGTTAAAGTGTGTGAAAAATGTTTTAATTTATATATGTTTGTTATTCGTTCTTTCAAAAACTATTTAACGGATATTGATTGAATTTCACTATAAAGTTGCTTAGACATCGGAATAAGATATAAGATATAGTATATCCCGCAATTTAGTGTAGTTTCTACGTAATAACGGCATAACAGTTTTATTGTGTATGAAGTTCGGTTTATTTATTTCGATAAACCGACGGTGCTTATAATAATGACATTACATACGATTTCATAGACTGTATAAGTGGCTGTCAGTCGATATCCTTAACTATAGTTTTAACATTCTACATTTCTCTCCGAGCCCAATCCCGATGTTAACTCCGATAAAGTGGCAGCCAAAAATTATTTATTATACATATAAATGAGAACCATTATTTTAATTAATTAATGACAATAGCTAATTTTATACGAAATTTTCAATAAAAACAAAAAACAGTGTTTATAGCGTCAACTGATATTAGATGTAACCAAAAATTAATCAATTTAAGCCCTTTCATGTTTGTTTGGATTTAACCTTTTTTATCGATTAATAAAATAAAATTTAGTTCTTATCGAATCAATAAAGTATTTTCTTTCTATAGGACATCGCTCGCCAAGATCACACAGACTTAGGGACCATGCTTGAAGTGGAAATAAACAATTCCTTCCTAAAAGATGGTCTAAAAATTATCGTCCCACCAGACATTATAGATCCCGGGATATCTGATTACGCGACTTTAAAACATTTAAATGCAGACTTGTACCAAAGGAGAGAAACAATACTAAAGTCTTATAGTCCAGTATATTTGTACGCGTTGGACAAATTCGGTAGAAACATATTCAACGATAATATCTGTAATAAGATGAACTCTTCGAGGAATGAAGATGACTTCTGGTCGACCTTCAACCTTTATTATATGTTGAACAATGAAAAGGTCGAGAAAAAGGTGGATATTTCGGAAGATCTTTGGAAAGAAGCTGCTGATTCTGTTTTCACTGCTGAGGTATGATCTATCTATATTTGTATACGAATACTTGATCTTTTTTGGGCTATACTAACATTCTACTAACATTTAAGCAGACTATAAATTTAGTTTTATTTCTCCAAACTATTATTTCATTAATATGTAATCAGGATTCACTATAAATATAGCCTACATGTATGGGATATCAATCAAAAGACCGTAATAATTTATCACGTGAACTGTATATAGAAGATATATAAAAATATCTTTTCTAAATTAACATACAAATTTGTGTAAAAATCTAGGTCAAAAGTCATATAATTGCAAAATTATACTTTAAAGTTAAATGTGTAGAATTCCTAATTCATTCGATGGTACGAAAACTTGATTAACAGAGAAATTGACGTGATGTAATTGGTAGCAAGTTCGAGTCTTGCGTCTATCGATGATTTTCTCAATTTATGTTTTCTATATGTATTTCCACTCAAGTAATATTATTTTTATTCTCTATCATTTCAACACTTTAACTAAAAAGCTATTTTGTACTGCCAGAACTGCCTTGATCTCCATCAAATTAAGGACATAGACGGCAGTTCTCAAGTCTTCTTCGTTCTCTTCTCGGACAGCAGAGCAGAAGAGAAGCTAAGAGAACCACAGAGTGATGCGACGGAATCTACTGAGTCAGTTTACAATAGTGAAGAGTTACCAGAATCTGATCAACTGATGAAAGTTATTGGGTAAGAATTAACTAGTATATTGAAAATACTGTTTAAGTTAGTTATTTTGACCTATGTGACAAGAAAAGAGATGAAAAATCATAGGTTTAATAAAACTCTTTATTGGCAAAGAAATTTCGTTATATAATGAGATCAAACACTTTCGGGAGTATTCATTACAATGACACTAATGTTTTCGGATTTATTTAATTGATTTATGTTCATGTGTCCTATATTGGCTTAAATTTTTTGTCTTACTTTTATTATATGGATTTATATGAGTAACACTATCCACCATTATCCAAATTTTTGCTAATTTCTAATGCTCCAATCCTTCCCTTTCTTCTCCATAAAGCAAACATCTGTAATGTCTTTAAAAGTCTTTATTTCTTATATATATGTTATTATTATTGATGTAGCCCGGAGTGTTCCGTGCGACGGCTTCATGAAGAACACACAGCCTTTATGAACGATCTTCTCGATCAGTGGGAGCTCATCAGTTAGTATTACATACTTATTAATATAACTTACTGTATACCAATAAACCTGAAGAAATTACCTTTACGCTAATATGGTAATAGTACTTTTCTGCTTGCGAATTTTTCAGTTATTTGAAGCTATTGAACGTAATATGTAGATTCTTTGTTAGACTTAAATACGCAAATTCGTAAAGTGAAAAGTCGCAAAAAATCATTTGATAAAGATATGAATAAGTAAACTTTTTTAACTATAAATATGACTAAGTACACAATATTAAATGCAAAAATGCTATTTTAGAGAAGGTTTTAGCTATATCCAATAAAACGCAAACTATGAGAGTGAATGGAATATACTTTAAATAAACTTCCAATTTTACAGCCAGTCCGCCAAAAAAACACCACGTAAAGAGCCAATGGACCATTCTAGACGACAAAGAACTGTTCAGGACCGTCGATAAAGAAGACAATAAGAGGAAGAAAGAAGATAACGACAGAACTGTAAAGAATAGAAGTAATTTACTTAACTTGATACTCAAGTTCGCGACCGAGACTTGTCAGAGTTATTTGTTGGATCAATGTACTAGGCTGAGTGAGGTGAGTTGTATTATGTACTATGTAGTTGTTAATTATATTTGTATCATTTCCTCTATTTTGTTTTAGGACAAACAGCTTATATTTTCGAGACCATTCCGTACATTTGTCCATTAGTTTTTGGGTTATTGAGAAACACTTGTCTTGCTCAATGTGATAAAAAATAAAAATATTTAATCATAATTGATCCCCGTGCGGGTGTTGGGTCCATCGTTGTAGTGAGAGGAGCTTCAACAGTGACTGGGACTTGTGACCCAGGTGTAGGTTTAAGGGACCCTATATAACGCGCTCACCTCCACCGTCCAAGTTCCTCTCTCTATGTAACCAAATTTCAAACGAAAGAACGAATTTATTCAAAGATTTAAGAACCGTTAAAGTCAGCAGTCTCTTAGTATTTATAAGCCCGTTTTCAGATATCATTCTGTAGAGAAAGTTAAAAATTATGTGACATTTTTAATAAAATCGCTTCACCCTATACTATAATAAAAAATAAAAAAAATCTGTTTTAAATATAAAAGTAATAGTTAGCTAAACACTTTAAATAAATTCAAATTGAATCACATTCATGGCGCTACATCACAGGTTAACATCCTGCGCTAATAAAACTACCTTACCATATATAAAACACACGTCCTAATTACCTTAGTAAGTTCTTCTACTACCGTACTACTTCCTAGTTATAATTCCTATCCATATATTTCCAGCTGCACGTGAAGCTACTCCAGCAGTTCATCCTAGCGTCGTTCGACCTGGCTCGTGAGCTGCAGGTGGTGCCTCGCAAGATACAGTACGTGGCTCAGCAGGAGCAACAGCTGTACGAGGTTAGCACCTACTGGAAGAAAAAAATTGAAGAAACCTAATCTATTTAAATTATTCTTCTATGTGGGAAAATTTCATAGCGATTTTCTTTGGTTCATATTTAACCAGATGTTTTAAAAGCAATGACAAATTATGAAATTACTTAAAAGTATACTTTATAAAATTTCATAAAACCATATAATTTATCTTTCTTATAATAGTAATTCTTATATATTTAATAGTTTGGTTCCCAAAATCAGATCATGTATACATATAACTGTGTTACCCCGACATATTCTTTATAGTACATAACTTAAATAACTCTATATTTCGTCCACAGACTATAAATGATAAATTCTCCCAAGGCGATAAAAAGAGAGAGTTGGTTCAAATGATGCAGGAAGTGTTGGACGAAATACAAACAGACATCAACAACATGGACTGGAGCGTCGATGGTGAGAACACGGTACCTGATAATAATATAGATGAACACATCTATAGATATAGATAGATATAGATGGCTGAACGAGAAGTAAAGATAGTATACAGGGTGACTGGTGAATTACTATCAATATTTGAGGACGTGATATTTGACGATCATATATGACAAAATAAAAATTAATATAACATAAATATTAATAAACTTCTAAGTAAAGTTAACCAAAAGTTATGTAATTAATTACGCATCGTATGAACACCCTACAGATTAGGTATACACTGACACTCACACATACGCATGTCGTGACGTGGTGTTGTATCAACACGTCGCCGCACGCGTCCACACTTGAACACTTGGAACGTGTCAACACTTTACTTATTTATACGGAAATTTTGTCAAAAATTAAGTGCCTATTTTTTTTTACATAATTCGAATGAGAATCATGTACCGAGTATGCTCCTTAAATATTGATAGTAATTCACCAGTCACCCTGTATAGCTGTTATGACCCTGTAACTTACTAAATGTATATTTCGATACCTCCCAGTAAGTTGTTGTATGCCACAAAAATGCTATTTTGCCTATTTCCTAAGAAGTATTCTATTATGGATCATTACATTCATTCAAATTAAAAAATCAACAAAAACACTATTTTTAAAGGATTTTTCAGACGCATAAAGTTGTAATTTTCAAACGCGAACGGATTAAACTGATGTATATGCCTATGCAACTGTATACGCGGGGCGCGAGGTGGGTAAAATCACGCGCCCGTGACGAGTATTGGTTAGATACAACAGGCATATTAATTAAAATATCTTTTAACGTAGTTAAGAAGACTGTTATGTTAAATTCAAATACGAAATTTTAAAGAGATGCATCAATAAATGCAAATTTTGGTTTAATTTGAATCTTTGAAACGCTCTACTGTTAAATTACACTTTTGGAGATACAACAACTTACGTGGCAGGTATCGATTTAAAAAAAAATGTATCATAACTGTTTTTGCTTCTATTACCAGTTGTCTTTGCTTGAATTCAAATATTTGAACTTAAATAATCCCGCAGTCTAACTTTACACAAGTATCACCCAATCGTGGGTCTGTTTATTGGTCCCTACATCAAAAAAAGTATGTTATGTAAATTATATAGGGTGGCAACCAGAGGTTCCAGGAAAACTATGAAACTTACTTATATAACCTATACCTAAGACTACATGATCGTCCCGATGTTATGATACCAATACCATTCCATAGCTTGTGTGGTATCAGGAATCTTCTGGTTCACACGGTGTGGTGTTCGTTCCGCGGAGTCAGCGGCGTCACTCGTTATATGATATTTTATCTATACAATATTGTTGCCCCGGCGATGTTCATTTATTTTTTTAATTTGTAGCGATTACGTAAAATGTGTATATATATATGTATGTCAGTAATTCCTTTCAGATCTTCCCTGTCATCAAGACAAACGCTTCACTCTATCCAGTTCGATTTTCCATTCAACTAGAAGCAGGTCTCTATCAATAAGATTAACAGAAGTAGTTCAGCCCTCAGACCTCATAGTACCAGATGTTCCAGAAGTTTCTTCGGATGCCGAAGAGGCTGTGTCCTATGATAGCTATAACTTCGATGACTTCGAAATCATTCATTCAAATGAAGAAAATCCTAGTAGCGAGTGGAGTCGGGTTAGTAAACTAGTATAGAATTAAATCCTAGTAACTTTGGACCTTTGAACTGTTCAAATGATTAGTATGTCGTAAGAAGAATTCCTGAAAAGATTGTACTTGGATATTAATTCTATATCGCTTTTAATACTTACTTTTAATTCTAAATCTATATATTTTAATCTAAATTTAAATACATAACTTAATCTTAGCCCTTATTAGAGCTAATTTATAAAAAATATTTCTACACAGTAATCAAATTAAATGCTTTTAATTAAGTAAATTATATATTTTATTGTCATTTGTTTTTCAATCTATTTCTAACAATGAAATTGACTCAAGATACGCTTATTTTCCCCACAATGTTTTTTTTCCATAGACTAAAGTACTGACCAAAAAGAAACCAAATAGTAATTCCATATATGTATATTTTTCAGATGTCACCGTCAAGTTGTACGTCATCGTGTGCTCGTGTGTCAACTAAACAAGCAGCGTTGGATGTACAACATACTGGTAGGTGACATACTCACGAATATAGAAAGTTATGTTCAATAGTCCCTTTCCCCTCAAAAAATTCACTAAAAACATAAATGTTACTTTATAGGATAGTTTACTATTTCCCATTTTTAATCAAGTATGGATTCATATTTATAAATTAATTGAATTTCGTCAAAGAATTTTAGCATTATCATTTAAATTGATACGATGATTTTTTAAATTGTTTTATGTGTTTTTCAGTTCTTTCAAGACTGAGTCAGAAAATAAGTTTGAAGCTAGTGAAATTTGTTGACTGTTTGAAGGTTAGCTACTTTGGAACTTTACAGAGGTAAGAATACGTACACACATTTATAGAGAATTCTGCATGATACATCTGTAGCTTATTAGTTACTAGCTTTCCGCCCGCAGCTTCGCCCTTTAGGAGTTCGGTTATATCGCGTTTCCAAGAGAACCTTTCAAAAGTCTGGGATAACAAATATCCTATGTTCTTTCTCAAAGTCAACTCCATCTCTGTACCAAATTTCATTAAAATCGGTTCGGTTTAGGCGTGAAAGCGTAACAGATAGACAGAGTTATAATATTAGTAGGGATTTATAGTGCCTATGTGTTATTCCTGGACGTCAGCGTCCTGTATATAAAAATTTAATCAAAATCGGTTTAGCCGTTTGAGCGTGAAGAAGTAACAAACATACACACACACAAACTTTCGCAATTATAATATTAGCAGGATTGCTGTCTCTCTCTCTCTCTCTCCTCTCTCTCTCTCCCTCTCACACTATCTGTCTCTCTCTCACTCACCAGATATCTGGAGTAATACAAACGCTTATATAACATTCTGCATGATAGATCCGTACCTTCAGTTATTTTCATCTCTCTTACTATATCTATGTCTCTCTCTCCCCAGATGTCTGGAGTCTTTAGAGAGTTCGTGTCGTAGTGAGCTGGGAGGTCGTCCAGCTAGTGAGGCGATGTTACAGCTGCTGTCTGTAGCTCGTGATGTGGACCTCGGGCCGTGCGCCTCCGTATCAGCCTTAAGAGACCTATTAGACTCGCTGAGGAGATTGTTTAGTCGGTGAGATAGTTTTATCAGTAGTATAATATATAAAAACGTTTTTTAAACATATTTTGTAAATACTGACGTATTGTTTGTTTGTCAACAAATATATTTGAGAAAGAAATATCTTGATTTCAGAATGATAAGTTCTCTTTTAGGAACGGTAATAGATTATGATTCTTTGAAATATGTCCATTTTTGCAGTACAAATAGATCCTACGTACAGGACGATGTAGTAACTATTTAAGTTTTTGCTCATAATAAAACAAAATCTGGATTGAACGGTTTCTTGTTAATGCTGAAAACATTACATAATATATTCTCATATCTCTTTAATAATATACATATATTCACTATATTACCGTTTGGATCAATTATTTTTGTATTTTCTTTTCTTCTATTCTTTTAACTTAGTTAATTAATTTTATAATTGTCGCATGTCCTGGTGTAGTCTTCGTCTATCAGCTGCTCCCGAGGCAGAGTGTTGTGCTCTAAGTGCTGGTTGGAGACGTCGCGCTGCGTCGAGAGCGGCGCGGAGACTGGACACACACACACTCGCACGGATCATATCGGAACAGGTGACTATACGTGTATGTGTATGTGTGTGTGTGTGAGTTCTCCTATAGCGTGTGTCAATGAGTCTGTTGTATCACATTATCCACGCATATCGGTTTGTTTCCATCCATGTGTGAGTATCTGAATCTAGAGTGTGTAAGTGTGTGTGTGTGATTTCGTATAGCGAATGTCAAAACTTCGGTTGTACCAGATTACTTGCGCATGTCAGTGTGTCCGTCAAAGTCCGTGAGTGTCTATATCTAGGTTACATGTGTGTGTGTGTTTGATCCCATAAAACATATAAACATGTTTTATTTTATATAAAGTTTATGTATATTTTTGTGCTAGATATTAGAGAGACTGAGCGTAGCCCACGAGCGGTACCAGTCAGCGCTGAACTCGCTGGAGACAGCGCTGGCCAGCCGCTTACATCACACCGAGGACGTGAAACTTGCGATACGGAAGAAGTAAGTTATTTTCCGAACAATTTATATTATTTATTCATATAAATGGACCTAAACCTTTATATACAATGCAATCTACTAATATTTTAACCATACCTTTCTTTTTAATTTAATTCCTTAATTAATGGTCTTCATGGTCAATTCGGTATATCAAGATAGCAAATATATACTTAATTCTATTAGATTGTCAAAGAAAGACTCTAGTGGTAGAGTTAAGTCTATGAGATTATGGACAACCAAATTCTTAAGAAATAATAAAAAATGCTTCACACATTATATGTACGTACTTATTTAGAAGTGTTTATTTTATTTCCCCATATTTTTGGAACTAAATTTTTAATGGTTATAATTTGTTATTCTTTTGTAGTATCTTTGCGATGAGCTAATATATATCTTATATACATATATTTATATAATGTTGTCGCTTTTGTTACTGTGTATATGTTTTAAATACGTTAAGTTAGCCTATAGCGTGTATATATAATTATTGAACATATTTTAAGTGTTTGTTGTTGTCAGGTTCGCTCCATCGTTCGCCCGCCTGTGTCTAGAGAGTACGTCCATGTGTGACCTGCTGATGTATGGAATGCCGGAGCTCGGCAGAGAGATCGGTAATAACATTTATTTTATAGTTGATAAAATGTAATGATAAAACTATTAAACATATTTTGGTGAAGCTGTATGTTAATATAGCTTACACTTCAGAATCAGTAATGTCTAAATACTCTTAAAAAGTAGTCATATGACTCGGAAAAATCACAATGGTACTTGTCAGGGCCAGGATCGAACCCGCGCCGTCGTGCATGAGAGGCGGGCCTTTTAACCAATAGGCCACCACTGACTGCACTAAAGAATATAATATGGTCAATAAATTGTTGCGGAATTAGGTGCAGTCTTTTCTGTACTACGATATAACAGTTATAGTTTAATTAATATACATTTTTTATACTCGAGCTAATACCTATTTTAGATTGTCTCCAGACGAAACAGATTGTAACCGTACACATAAATTAAGAGAAATTTGATACAGGTTAAATCATACGAGTACACAGAACTATACTATTTATTTATGTGCATATTCTTAACTTAGCATCAATATTTAAAAATGAAAGTAATATTTTCGGATTACTACTCGTTATCTTATTATATAATACTACATACTCCCGACGTTTCAGTTATTCGCATCAATCATGATCACGGTTGATGCGAGAACAATCGTGAAAGGTTAAACCTCAGAATATTTATTAAGTTTAAGCCTTTAAAGTTTACTTTTTATGAAAATATACAACATCATCATAATCATCATCAGCCTATCAGAGTCCACTGCTGAGCTGTCTATTCTCACATGGAGAATGTTAGAGCATTAACCACCACGCATGCTCAAGACGGGTTGGTGATTTCAAACTTATAATTTAAAATTATAAGTTTAGGTTTCCTCCCGACGTTTAGTTCTTCAGCTGTTAGTGGTTTCTAAATAGTCTGAGACAGTACATATGACTCGGAAAAATCAAATTGGTACTTGCCAGGTATCGAACCCGGTCCCTTATGCATTTCAGTCGGGCTATTAACCTCTAGGCCACCATGACTGTATTCTTCTTCTACCTGGCAATTTCCCAGCTTTATCCAGGGTCTGCCTTACATGTTGTGAATAGTTTTGGCAATTTTTTTTTACGACCGGCCGCCTTCCTGACATCAACCCTCTTTGGGAATGCATTAATCAGTGATGTCTAAGTACTCTTAGAAAGTACATAAGACTCGGAAAAATCACATTGGTACTTGCCAGGTTTCGAATCCGCGCCTTCATGCATGAAAGGCGGGCTTTTAACCTCTATGCCACGACGACTATATTATTAGTATATATATTATATAGTATGTATATATATATGTTGCAGGTCGAGGTCAATACGGCGTGGTGTACGCCGTGAGAGGTTCGTGGGCGGGTCACAGTCCCGCTGCTGTGAAGTCAGTCCTACCTGCTGACACTAGGCACTACCGGGAATTAGCTATGGAGTTCTTCTATACTAGGTATTACAATCTCTTACTAACAAAACACTTGTGAGAAATATTAATTACGTATAACTAATTATTCCTAGTGAGGTCGTAATGATTGATTTTGATGGTATTGTCTTTGGGGATGTTGGTTTCCCAAACTACCGTAAACTCTATTATCACAACGCGCTTTAAAATTCGCGAATATAGGAATATGTGTGGTCTAAACGCCGACGCATAAGTATCCTCCGGGATTTTGTATTGTTCCTCATAAATAAAATCAAAGGATATTTTATTTTTTTGAACTCGTTGACTGCTCTATCTGTATACACAGATTTTGTAGTTGTATGACCGTTGCTTAGTAAAACTATTCTTTATTGTATAAGATAGTATATTTCAGATTATTCATATATTGCGTAAATTAATATTTTTATTGTCACACTACATATATAGAGTTTTGCGTTCAATAATCTTCTCATATAGGCTATAGTATCAATATAGGTCTGGTAGGTGGTAGAGCCTAGCTATTCTAAAGTTACGATAGCTTAAACTTGGGCTGGCTTGATTGGGGAAGTACCACCTTCTCACAGAAGGTCGGGGTGAAGATGGCATTAGTGACTGCGTTACGTCCGATGAGTGAGAGAGACGGTTGCCTTTTCCTGCCATTTTATTATTCCTTTCCCTTTTCATCAAAAATCAAGTTTGGTAAGGCATCCGCAACATCTGTTGCGAATGTCTATAGACGACGGTCACTACTGCCCATTAGGAAGTACGCTAATTTGCCACCTAACACATTTAAAAACTATTGTTGGACTAGAAACATTCATTCATTCATTCATCGTACATTTCGTAGTATTTCTAAGTGTGTTAAGTATATTGTACGTGTTCTTCTCGCAGGTCTATTCCGTCTCACCCTCGCATCGTCCGTCTACTCGGGTCGTTAGTTCAGCGCGGCTCGTCTCCGTGCGTGTTGCTCGTGTCTCAAAGGTTCACTAGGGACCTGCACGCGGCTGTTAGACACGGCCTGCCCTTTGAAACTAGGATGAGGATAGCATGTGATATTGTTGAAGGTATGTTCAAAATTTATATTTATACTAGCTGCGCCCCGCGGTGTTACCCGCTGATTTCCGGGATATAAAGTACCCTATGTGTAATTCCTAGACGTCAGCTTCCTGTATACAAAATTTTATCAAAATCGTTTCAGCCGTTTGAGCGTGAAGAAGTAACAAACATACACACACACTCACAAACTTTCGCAATTATAATATTAGTGGAATATGTGTGTTACGCTCAAAGATCTAAAACGCTCAGTGAGCGAAAAAATTGCTCACGACGCGTTCTGAGCATTCATTGGTTGAACCCAATCACGACGGACAGATTGTACCTCGTCACTGAGCACATTCGATTGACTTTATGTATGTACGTAATGAGTTTACAATTTTTGAAACCAACTTTATTATCATTTGTGATGTGCCCTCAACTTCGTCGTTAACACTGCTGTGAACTATTGTTTTATTTCGCTCACTGAGTGTTTTCGATCTTGGAATGTAACGTATATATATAGGTACATATATGTATAAGTATAGACTACACTTCTTTTTTGACATATTACTCAATGTTTTTTTGCTAAAAAAAATTTAGTTATTGAAATATATTTTGTAGGTTTATTTAAATGTATGAAATTCTGTTTTCGCTGATAGCGTTATAGTAAATATGTAAACTTGAGTATTAAAGATCGAAGTAATTTTGTCTGACCAAATTTTGATAACATTTATTACCTATCAAGGAACAATTTTAATAATAGACTCATTACAAAGAATACACTATTATTAAGTTTGATTGCTGTAATGTATAGTAACTTCGATGGGTCCAAAAAATATTATAAACCATTAATATATTATTTTGATAAATTTGATGATAAACATTTTTGATCAAAATTTTCCCACCAAGGGCCATAAATAAAAACTTATTTTATTATTTCAGGGATACGTTACCTTCATTCCTTAGGTTTAGTACATCGGGACGTTAAACTGAAGAACGTGTTGTTAGACTCGTGTTGTCGCGCGGCGTTGTCTGACCTCGGTTTCTGTACGGCGGGCGCTTTGTTGTCAGGATCTGTTGTTGGAACACCAGTACATATGGCGCCTGAACTGTTGGCCGGGAACTATCACTCGGGTGTTGATGTTTACGCTTTTGGTGTATTGTTTTGGTGAGTATTTTGATTGGGACTAATATTCAGAAACTAATGTTTTTGGATTATTACGCGTATTTTATCTTTTAAACTACATACTCTTGACGTTTTAATTGCTTTAAACCAACCGTGATCACGGATGACATCTCGTCTACCGTGGTCACTTATAAAATACGCGTAGTAATACTGAAATATTAGTTTCATTTTTCTAGGAATTATTATTATGATAATAAGTTATCATTATATTATGTATGAGTTGGGTTAAGGAAGAATTTGTGTGACTGAAAGGATTTAATGAAATTATTTAGAGGTACTTATTTCGTGAGGATCTTGATTTGGTAGATGTCATTTTCGACAGTAAATTGTTATAATATAGTCAAGACAAATTTCTTCAATGCAATTAAAAGTATAAATGCAAACTTATGATGATACTATATAAATACTATTGAAATTATGATACTATCCTCTTTTATAATACAATAATTACTTAAGAGACCAATTTTCACAATAAAAACTTATTGAAACTGAATTTAGCATTGAAGTAGTTAAATTTTTCCAAATGATAGAGAAGGTTAGAGTTGTTAGGTGGTCGCGATTGAACTTGTCACGTTTTAGTGAAATAAAAATATTCATTTTCAGGTATCTTTGCGCCGGCAACATCAAACTTCCTTCTGCGTTCGAGGCTTTTCAAAATAAAGAACAGTTGTGGAGCAAAGTCAAGAGAGGTAAGAATTTCTATAACAAACGTTAGAAGATGAGTATAAAGTAAAGTATATGTCTATTTATAAACTGTGATAATCATAGAGTACTGAGAATAATTATGAAACCATCTGTAGCGAAAAAGCATTTAAAGTTGATCTGCCATTAAAACAAAATATTCTGAATTATGAAGAAATTTGTGCATTAATTACTTATTTATCTTAAAACGAATACATATAAAGACCAATAACAGTTTATTAAAGGTGCCATCAGAAACAAATCAGTTTTATTGTGCAGCACTGTATGACTGACAACTTAATCTACTTACCTACTAATTAAATTACTTAGAACTAAACTTTTACTTAAACTACTACAATTACTAAGAACTAAACTAATCACGTGATGTAGGTCTACGACCGGAACGCCTTCCTTACTTCTCTGACGCTTGTTGGGAACTGATGCAGTCTTGTTGGGCATCCGAGCCTGAACAACGAGCGTTACTTGGAGACGTACAACCGAAACTTGAAATGATATTGGAAGAAGCTAAGGAGAGGGGGGAGGGAATTACCAGGGAAAAGGAATTAGGGCAGAGATATGAGGAGGGGGAAGATAGTCTGGATATGACAGGGTTAGATTAATATAGAAGCCAGGGCAGAGAAATAGTGAATGAAGTCCAATGAAACTATATATTTTTTGTAAAATATCCAGTTATTTGATAAACATCACCAGTTTAGTATCCTATGATTCACGTATTCATATTGTTTTTTTTTTAATGATGAATTTATTATATTTTTCTAAATTCTTTATTTTGTTGGTATTAATTGTTGGATGCTTTGAGCTACCTCTTTGATCAATTTTTCGTAAATCACATCTTTTAATAGATCTGTTTTCTTTGGGAAAGCTTTATAATGTATTTCTATAATGGAATCGATATCGAGTATGAAGATTATTGCTTTCAAAATGTGAGTGCCTTAACAGAGTGTGAATGTATATATGTGATATCTTCTTCATCTAGATATGTGATATATTTAACGTAAATGATTTCGTAATCATTTCTTATAATTTTATATGACAGTAGTTAGTATTAAGCTTTTGTTTTTTATATCACGCCTCTGGTGGCGGAATTTGGTTTAACAATTGTCAACTGCTGTCAGTATATGAAAAGAATAATATGTATATATGTTTTTTATTATTTAAGTATTGTATAAAGTGCCAAACTTTTCCAAAAAATCTTCCATGAAAATTGTTTTGTTTTTTAAATTTTTATGTGCTTGTGATATGTATCTTTTTTACGTCTTATGGTTTCTTCATTATAGCTCTAAGAGTTCTATTAAGTTTTAAGTTTATTTATATACGTTTGGAACATATCCTTGAAATATATCGAAATTTTTATCACATGTTATTTTTTATTTCAAATAATCAACACAATTCTAAAGTTTTGATCTTCTCTTTACCGAAATTGTTAAGGGTTTAAGAAATAAGAAAGGTGAAAATAAATAATAGGTACTTTTGTTTGTTAAGACTACTACATATACATGTATTAGTGTATAGTAATATTTGGATCATGTTCTTAACAATAGAAAACTTATTATTCTTTATAATATGGACAATTTTCCGAATCAGCTATAAGGTATTGTACTTGGAATATTTTTTATCGTAGTCTCTACTGTAGTCCTCCACCATCTATCCTGATAAAGAAAATTCGATCACATCTTAGCTAATTGATTTAAAGAGTCGTACAATTCCTAATAGTGAAAGTAGTATAAATGGTCTTCATGTTATATAGTCCCTTAAATCTTCACCTTGGTCACAAGTCCCAGTCACTGTTGACGCTCCTTTCCCTACAATGATGGACCCGACACCCACACCGTGAATACATTGAATGATGAGAGGTTTAGTCTCATTACAGTATAATTGATAGCTGTGTCTTGAATTTCAATAACAACTTCTTAATCTTTGAAAACTTATGAACGCTAAGTTACATTCATTATCTCTTTATGAAGTCGTAAGTATTTTATTATATATTGAAGTACTTAAGTCCTCTACAATTGATCATAGTGGCGAACAAAATAATTCCACTTTTAGTCAGTTACAATTATTATAACAATCCGTTTTGCAGTTAAACAATTAATACAAATTTATCTTAGAGTAGACGTACTATGGTTTGAATTGATCAAAATATTTGTTAATTTCTAAGCCCATTCCTCTAGTTCCACTTAAACTTAATACACACAGTACTGTGTTAAAGCAGAAGAAGATGTCGGATGAAACAAGACGACTGTACCATTTTGTTGCACATTTGCATGAAACTACATATATTACATAAGAACATGGTTTAAGCAGTACTTATACGTATTTGTAGTGTCTAACTATTCGATCGTCACGAAGAAGTTCAGAGGCTGGTTTGGTATTTGGTCTATATTTTAGTCATAAACCCGATAAGATTGTCATTTGCAAATTGTTTTTCGTTTTGATCATATAAATTACATGCTTTTAAGAAAAAAAAAATCAAGAGGATCATCTACCATACATAAATTTTAGTGGTGGTTGCTTCTATTCTTATTTCAAAGCCTAATGATTTTTATTTCGGATTGACAGATAAATTCTTTTACCATATTATCAAAAGGAAAAACTTGTCAAATTTTATATTCTTTACCAAAAACTATTGAATAATGTCAATTATATAATGATACTTTTTAATTAATAACAAATTTCATTGCCAGACTTCGTTAAGGAGAATAAAATAACTGTTTATTGACTCCAAAAGCCTACTTTTAAATGTAACCTATTGGCAAAAGTCAGTAACCTTATATTTCTTTTGACTAAAGGACGTTGCTGAAAGTCCAAATTTTTTAGTTCTCTTGGGAAGCAACAAATACGTGACAGTTGTTGCTTGCTTTGAAACTCTTCATGATATCTTCCAAAGGTTTGTTTCCTTATTAAGTGAGAATTTAAGGTATTTTATTTCAAAATACTTTAACACTTATGTTACCAGTAAAACAATCGATACTAGACTTATTAGTTAGTAGTATGTTTGTAAAAGTGTATACTGTAGATTGTAATTTAATTAATACTTATCTCGTAGTCGAGTTATTTTTAGACGTGTTTTCTTAAATATAAATGTTTGTGGCTTAGTAAACATTTAATTCTAATGTTCAACTCTGCTCACGTTATAAGCTATGTTAATCTAGAATCTGATTGTTATTTTAATGAAGTAGTTAGGATATCCTTAGGTAAGGATCTTGATCTCCCTTGACAGAAACTAAGAAAATTTATGTTTAGAATAAAATTACTGGAACCGAAAACAAAGCTATACATAAATTGTTGTAATTTTGCTCAAATATTATTATCAGTGACAAAAACACAGTTTAAATTAATTTCTTAGTTTTATTGTTTGTAACTTCTTTTTATATTGTTACTATAAGAAAAACAACTAAAACATAATTTATTTTAAACAAGCAAACTTAAAGCCCATTAAAGTCAGAATTAATCCAGTAAGATAATAAAACCTTCAAATATAAGGATTGAATTTCAAATGGCATCACCTCCTAATCTCTTCATTTCTTTACTGAAATTCATTTTACGACCAAAAAGGTCTTCCGCAACCCCGAGTTTCAATTGTTAGAGAAATACTATTTATTTAAGGTAAATCAAGGGTCTCTCGGGTCTATTTTCATTCAATAAAAATTTATGTAAATATTATTGTCTATATATAAAGAAACAGCTCACTTTTATGATTTGAAATTATTGAAAAGTTTAATTAATATGGCTTTTTATTATATAATTATACGAACTTATAACGAAAAATTAAAGTGTTCATATTCTATACATTTTATTCTGTTTTTAGGCTTGAGGAAAATTTATTAAAATCTCAAAACTACTCATTTTATTGGCGAGAAAAATGTCACTCTTATTCTTTTATCTGTATATTTTAAAGTAGCTAACTTAGAACATCTTTGTCCCTCGTTGTTTTAGCACTCACTGACTTCAAATTTTTTGGACTTGTTTAATGTTTTTCAAATGTGTATACGTAAAAAGGCTATAAAAATAATACTAATCTCAAATTTCATCGTCTAAGCCGATGTTAATTTAAAATATTTTCTTAATTTTTTATATAGTGATTGACAAAATATGTATAATAGTTAGTTACCTAAAGCGTAATGACGTCTATTCACCGTTTCTGAATATTAATGTATTAATTTTGTTACTTTCAATAAACCACTAAATGTAAATATATTATGATTCCAAATATAATACTAAAAAAAAGAATATAAAAAATTATAAGGATTATAAATTGACTCAGAATGTAGATCTTTTTATAATTATTTAGTACACGTATTTCACATATTTTGGCAATATATATTAATCAATAAATGTAACTATAATTCCTACAACTGATAAAATATTTATAAAATTGTATAAGAATTTTTAGAGTATTGAGATCGATATAGTTGAAGTTATAATTTACTTACATTTACTTTCACCCTTGTTCTCATAATTTACCTTATACATATTTTCTCCTACAATTTAGTGTCTTTATTCGGCCTTATTTACTGACAATTTAGTGGCCTTCAAGGAAAGAACGAATATCATTTACATAGTGTCTTATGATCGAGGTCCGTATTTCCACTTACCATAAGGTTGCATAATATCTAAGTACCACCCATGACCCAAGTTCTAAAAAACAATGCTACTACTATCGACACTGAAATATTTATATTTCTATGAACATTCCTCTATAAAAATCTTTGCTTCTTACTATATTATTATTTAAAATTGGTAAAAACTCCGCCGTGTAACTCAATAAACTCTTTACAGAACCTCTTAAAGGTTGTCGTTATGAAGGCAGTTTATCAAATCTAGCCGCTCCAATGATTACAATTCATTTTTCTCTGCTGTTTTTAGTTTCACTGAGTTTCTGATTCTATTGAATGGTCTCGACTAACTCGATAGTAACTGTGAAGAATGGAACGATATTTTTGATATGTCCCTCTTTATTTATGTATATGCGATAAATATTTTTGGCTATGAAACATATAGGTAGGTTCTCTAGGTAAAATTAGTGACATACTCTTCTACTTTTGATCCATGCAATAAACTGACCTGAATGAATTTGATATAGAGGTAATTGTATTTGTAATAGTAATAAAGATATCTAGATATCATTTTAAAATGATTTTTATTTTCAACGTATTCTTTTATTTAACCCACAATGCCTATTTAGTTTTTGGACCCAGAGAAGGTTATTTTGTCTCTTCTTGTAGATATTCATTTGAATAATATGAAAAATACTTACAGTTAAAGGTAAAAATATATTTTAATGTCCGTATCAGAATAATATCGTCGTTAGAAAATAGTCAAAGGAAATATTCAGTCGCATTATACGCTTAGCATTATTTATTCATGTATATATATTACGCATGTGCAATATTACAAAACTTAAGCATTGAAGCAGTAAATAACTGGCGTACTGTACAAAGCCGCGAGTAGGGAATGTAATTCAATCTCGCGCACATTCTGCATTGTAGTACGTTTATTGCCTGTTTTACATAACATTTCACTGTAGCAGAACAGCTTTAATAGAGAGATATTAACCAATATAGAGAATCTGAGACGCGAGTTTGAGTCCTTCAACTGA